CGGTGGCGGGGCGCTTGCGTCCCACGACGGCGCTTTGGTGAAGTTGTCGCGAGTCCGTGGTCCCGGCTGGGGCGCTGCGGCCTCTGCATGGGGGCTTTTTTCGGCCTCAGTGGCCACCAGGTCTTTCTGGCAGAGGCTGGGGGTCTTAGCGTTGGGGGCGGCCTCTGGCTCCACACTGCTCTCCAAGCTCCCAGGACGACCTTGGGGAGATGGGGCTGAACTGCAGGGTTTGCCATCTGATTGCCTGGAAGAGGAGGACTCGGTCTTCTTCGGAATGGAAAACCCCTTTCCAGAGGATGGGGACTCAGCTTTTCTTGGAGATGCAGAGTCGGCCTGAAACACAGGCTCCACGTTCCCAGACACAATGGGATCTGCTTTTCCTGAGGATCCCAGATCTACTTTCTCAGAGGTCTGTGGCTGCTCCTTTTGCAAAAACAACCCTTCTGCTTTTTCTGACGATGTGGCACACTCTTGCCCAGGGAGCTTTGCTTCTGCCTTGCCCCCAGACTTGGGCTCAACTTTCCCCAAGGCCTTGGTTTCCTTCTTTGTGGAGTTCACAGGATTCCCCTTCTCCAGGGACGGAGGATCCACCTTTCCCTCTGGGATGGCTTCTGCTTTACCGCAGTCCATGGGATCTGCTTTCCCAGGGGACACCATACCTGTTTTGCTATAAGTCATGGGGGACTTTCCTAAAGACATGGAGTCCACTTCTCTAGAGGGGGCAGTTTCTGTCTTTCCCCTGCTCACAGGGTCCACATTGCCTAAAACCAGGGGATCAGCTTTCCTTGAGACTGTAGGACCTGCCTTCTCCAAGGACCATGAATCTCCTTTTTCCTCAGTCACGGCCTCAGCTTTTACTGCAGATGGAGGAACCCCTGTTTCCAAGGACCTGGGGTCCCCTGGACCTGAGGACGCAGGGTCTGTCTTGCCTGAAGATGCAGGATTCACTTTTTCAGAAGATGGTATTTTTGTGTTTCTCTCGGTTGTGGGATCCACCCCTCTGGAAGACACCAGGTCCTCTTTTCCTAAAGACACAGTTACTGTCTTTCCCATAGACACATGTTCTGCCTGCCCAGAAGACAAGGGCTCTGGCTTTCCTGAGGACATGGGATCCACCTTTTCCAAGGAAACTGGATCCATCTTGCCTAGAGACACAGGAACAGTACTTTCCACAGATGTGGGATCTATCTTTCCTGAAAACATGGGATCCACTGGGCCAGCAGACACTGTTTTTGTCATTCTCACAGACACAGGATGCCCCTCCCCTGAGGAGGCAGGGTCTGTCTTTGCCAGGAACTGAGGGTCCTCTTTTGCCAAGGACACCATTTCTGCACTTTCCACAGATGCAGGATCTGCCATCCCTGAGCATGTAGGATTCAGCCTTCCCAAGGACCCAGGAGTCCCTAATCCAGAGAATATAGGCTCAGTCTTGCCTGATACCCCTGGAGTCAGCTTTCCCAAGAGCCCAGGATCTGATTTTTCTGTGGGTGTGGGATCCGTGCTTCTCAAGGATACAGGATTCACCTTGCCTGAGGGCCCAGGATCTATCTTTTCTGTGGATGCAGAGCCCACCTTTTCTGAGAACACAAGGTGCTCTTTTCTATGACACTCAGGCTCCTCCTTTTTGGGGAACATGGGATCCACTTTGCCTGAGGAAACAGGATCCACCTTTCTCAAAGACCCAGGATCCTCCTTTGGGGACACTGTGTCAACCTTGCTGGAGCACACAGGATCTACTTTTCCCAAGGATTCAAGATCTTCCTTTCTTGGAGTCATGTAATCCATCCTTCCAGGAGGCACAGGATCCCCCTTTCCAGAGGCTGCAGATTCTGCCTTTCCTGTCATCACAGGCTCTGCCGTTCTTGTGGAACCAGCATCTTTCTTTCCTATGGATCCCAAATCTTCCTGCTTTGAAGAATTGAAATCTCTCTTCTCCAGGAACACAGGATTTCTGTTCTCTGAGGACGTGGGATCAGTTTTCAGTGAGGACACAATCTCTGGCTTCCTAGACAAAGTGGTTTCTGGTGTCCCTGAGATCAAGGCTCCATGTAACCCCAATGTCTCCTTGGTGGCTTCCTCTTGGGAAGGGAGGCAGGTGGCAGAGGGGCAGGCTAAGTTCCCAGTGGGGTCCTCAGAGCAGGAGGCCCCTTCCCCAGCTCCACTGGGGCTGCTGTGTCTGGAGTCCATGCCTGGGGTTTGGTCAAGGGTGTGCCTGAGGCATGCAGGACTGGCCTTTTGCTGGGAGGGGCAGCAGTCCCTCATGGCCGGGCCCCCAGCACCCAGGCTCCCATCCTGTGGGCAGCAGAAGGGACTGTGGGGGCTGGAGTCTGTCGGAAGCAGCTGGAACCAGGCTGGGTCTTCAGCACTGCCCATCTGCCCTCATAGCCATGCTTGAATGCAGGCTGCTGTCTGGTTCTGAAACAGAGAGACAGCAGACTCAGACTTAGGGGACAGGGGGACGGCATCCATCCAAGCCCCTCCTGCTCACCTTCTTCCTAGCAGCCTAGCTCTTCACGGGGTTCTTTGTCCCTGTCTGGCCCCCTCCTCTTCACAGGGCCTGGGCTAAAAGCATAGGCCCAACCATGTCACTCTCCTGCTTCATCACACCCAGTGGTCCTCTGGATAGGACTTCTTAAAATGGCATTCAAGGACCTTCACAACTTGGCCACAGCCTGACCTTTCAGTTTCTCCTAATGTCTTCCCACCATGGTCATGCCCACCTCATGCAACCCAGAGGCTATACATTTGTTCTGTAGGCCACAGCTACAAACTCTGAGGCCATAGAGGTCATTTGAGTGAGGGAAGCAAGTTGGATATAAAACAAGAGGGAGTGGTGGGGACTGTGGCCAAGAGATCATGCCCTGTCTGAAGGGAAAGCCACTACTCCCTGAACCAAGTGCTGTCCTGGAGAAATGAAACCGTAGCACTAGTTCTTCCAGTGTCTTAAGAGAAGTGGGAAAAACCAGACTTTTATGTAAAATATGCTAATTAATTCAGGATTTAAATAAAAACCCAAAACACTATGTGGGCCAAAGAAAACATGTCTGTAGGCCACCAGTTTATGTCTATGTAGGCCCTGTGGAGCTGTGAATGGTTTATAGTCAAGGAAGGGACACAGTCAGATGTGTAAAGATTCCTCTGGAATGGAGTGGAGGCTGCACTGAAGGAGAGGGACTGGACAGAATCTGTGAGGAGGTCCATCCACCACTCATTCCGTCTTTCATTTGAGTAACCCTTAGTTCATTTGTGCCGTCCCTTCTCAGCAATAGACCCTGAGCAGCTACAATCGTTTTTTTGTTGTTTGTTTTCTTTTCTTGGTACTAGGGATTGAACCCAGAGCTGTTTACCACTGAGCCACCTCCCCAGCCCTATAGCGGGTGGTGGCCAGGGTGACCCACAGGACATTTGTTAGCATGGTGCTGGGCAATGGCACTGGGTAGGAGATCTAGGGAAAGAGGGAACTCCGTCTGGATGGGCTGTTTGTGATAGGTGGGGGACATTCAAGAAGAGGGTCTGGCAGGCAACTGGAGCTACGACTGACTTTGTCCCATTATACACTAGCAGCTACAGTGAGCAGGGCTCATGATTCCCCCCAAAACCTGCTCTAAAACTATCTCCCTAGTGCTCAGGCCAGAATCTTTGACGTTCATACCCCATGTCCTATTTTACTTATTTATTTTTGTACTGGGGATTGAACTCAGGGGTACTCAACAACTGAGCCACATCCCCAACCCTTTTTATCCTTTATTTTGAGACAGGGTCTTGCTAAGTTGCTTATTTAGGGTCTTGTTAAGTTGCTGAGACTGGTTTTGAACTAGTGATCCTCCTGCCTCAGCCACCCAAGTGGCCGGGATTATGGGCATGCGACATGGCACCTGGCCCCCATGTCCTGTTCATCCAGTTTGATCTACTTTCAAGATACATACAGAATCCCAACACTGCCCTGGGCTAAACCCTCACCATCTCTCATCCGGACGACCCTGGCTTTCCTCCTTCTCCCATCCAGTTTATTCTCAACACAGTTGCCAGAGAAGTCAGTAAAACCCAAGGCAGATCATATCCTTCTGTTCAGAACTAAGCAGTATCTACTCGTGCCAAATAGAAGTAAACTCTCCATAGCTCTTAAGACCCGACATTTTCTGGCTCCATTAACTCTTTTGGCCATTTCTCCTACCATTCTCCTTTTTTTGTAGTGCTGTTTCAAGCCCACTGGCTCCCTCACTGCCCCCTGAACACTCTGAACACCCTCCTCCCCAGCCTCAGGGCCCTTGCACTGAAGATCCTTTGTCTAATGGTCCACTCCCTGAGGCCTTTCCTGGCCCATACTGTATAACACAGCCTCCTCCCCAACCCTGGCTGGCGTTCTCCATCTACCTAGTGCCACTGAGTTTTTCTCCATGGTACGTGTCATATATTATTTATTGTTTATGGTGTGTTCCTCTTATTAGAATGCCAGCCCCAGGAGGGTGGAGACTTTGCTGTGCTCAATGATAGATCCCAGAGTCAAGAGCAATGAGTGGCAAGCTCCTAATAAAAGTTACATGAATGACTGAATGATTTTGCTGAGATTTAGATCTAACCGTGCTATTTCTGGCTCAAAATGCTTCCTTTTTTTTTTTTTTTTTTGGTATGGGGAATTGAACTCAGGGGTGTTTAACCACTGAGCCACATCCCCAGCCCTTTTTATATTTTATTTTTAGACAGGGTCTTGATAAATTGCTGAGGCTGGCTTTGAACTCAGATCCTCCTGCCTCAGCCTCCCAGGCCACTGAGATGACAGGTGTGCGCCACCACATCCTGCTTCTTCTGGTTCTTGTTGGGAAGTGAAGTTGGTTATCATCTTTTTTGAAGGACATTTGTCAACTTCTGTCAAAGTTTACAACGTACATAGCATTTGAGCCATCAACCCACCTGTAGGGGTGGTCCTGAAGATAGGGGGACCATAGATAGACAAATGTGCACTGGGGGCCTGAGAATATGGCTGGCAGTGGAGGAAAACGAGGAAGCAGTTCTATGATATGTGGGACAAACTCAGGGAACACCATGCAGCTACCAGAATATACGTGGGGTGTTGAGGAAAGATGTCACGATAATGTAGAAGAATAAAGACCTAGGGGACAGCATAGTTTCTAGACTCTCAGGTGTTTAGCCAAGGAAACGGGCAGACACGATTCTGGAAGGAATTCCATAAAGCTTTTTAGTGGTGATGGCCTCTTGGAAATGAGAACGGGATGCAACCCCCTGCTGGGGTCCCCTCTTGCCTCTCCAAGAGTTCTGTTTTTGTTCTTCAGGTGCAAACAAATCCTATTCCTTTTACTATTGGGGAAAAAAAAAAAAGACGGTGAATCTGAGTGTAAGAGATGACCTTTGTTGTGTTGTACACCCCTTTGAGATTGAATCTGGATCACATGTGCTCACAGTACAGGCACACATTGCTAAACAACAGGGATGTGTTCTGAGAAACGCATTGTTGATGATTTGGTCATTGTATGAATATTACAGAGTATACTCCATGCGGCCCCTTGATGCAATTAAGAGACACAGTACACTCTAGGTGTATGAAGCCACTGCTGGTGAAGCATGGTCCACTGTTTCACAGCCAACTTTTGTTTTTTATAAGCAGAAGGAGCATACTCTAATGATAAAAAATATAGTACAGTAAATACATAAACCAATACCATAGTTGTTTATTATCATAATCAAATATGCACTGTACATGATTATATGTGCTATGATTTTATTCAACTGTCAGCGCAGGTTTATTTACACCAACATCACCACAAATGTGTGCTAAGATGTGATGTAGGACACAATGTCACTAGGCAAAAGGAATTTTCCAGCTTCATCATAATCTTATGGGACCACTGCTGTGTATGTGGTCTATTGTTGACCAGAATGCCGTTATGTGGTGAATGACTGTACCATTTTTAAAAACAAGGGAAAAAAGAAAACTTTAATGCTTCCCTGTTGTCTTTAGGGTCAAGCCTATCTTTAAAGTGTGGTTCTAATCCCCTAGTACCCTCTTACCTGCTAGGATTTATCTTTCATTACCTACTCCCACCCCCCAAAACACACATACACACGCACACTCACACCACACAGACACGCACCACACACACACTCACACTACACACATATTCACACCACACAGACACACACCACACACACTCACACCACACAAACACACATTCACACACACATTCACACCACACAGACACACACAAGGTGGCCTCTTTGGGTTCACCCACGGCATCACGTCCTGAGCCAGCTCAGCCTCTATACACCTCGGTTGGGAGACTCTTTTGCTCCCTCCTTTCCTTGTTATTTCTTATTAAACCTTCAGGTCTCAGTTTAAATCCTTCACCCTCTAGTGGGCCTTCTCCCCACCCCCCACCCCCAGTTGGATTTCCTGACCTCTTGCTCTTCCTCTGACCAGGCAGGTCCCTCTGCATGTATTCATTTACACCTCTGGGCCCCTGACTTGACCTCAGGTTCTTGATGGGGATTCAGTCAGTACTGGTTACCACTGGGTGCCCCAGGCTTTGAGCTTGAGACTTGGCGGGGTGGGAGACATGAACTTAAGATGGGGATCCAGGAGAAAGAACAGTTTTTCAGAGGGCACTGGGCTTTAAAGAGTTGAATTGGGGCACCTATGGGACTTATGGGGGGGTCATGGAGGAGTCAGATGGGAGTCAGGTCTGAACCACAGGAGAGGTCTGGCCGGACTCCTTTGAATGTGTTTTTCATCAGCATAAAAATGAGTTAGAATATCATCGATCCACAGGGATTGATCAGATTTGAGCTGAATAGATGGGGTCCGTCTGTATGGCTTACCTTTTGATAGTGATATGGGTGGAAATAAAAATTTAAGAAAAACAATAGAACAAGGGAGATGATGACAGATTCCCAACGTCCTTAGAGTGAGGGAGACGAGGGTGTGGTGGGGACTGTGGCCAATGGAAGGCATCGGTCCCTTCTGAAGGGGCCACTGAACTCAATTCTGCCAGCTGTGGTCAGATCCATCCCTGAGCTCGACATTTACTGGGCACACCTGCAACGTCCTAGGCCCCGTTCTTAGTGCTGGAACATAACTGTGGGCGAGGGATGTACAGTCCCTGGTTCCAATGCAGGTAGACCAGGAAGGGGCAGCAAACAAGGAGCAAGCAAGTGATATCATTTCAAATACTAGATGCTGTGGAGACAAAGGAGTGGGCAGCCGGTTTGGACACGTGGTCAATAAAGGCCTCTCTGAGGTTAACATCTGAGCCATTGGGGAAGAAGCCAGAGTGGCGGGTGTAGAGCTGGAAGCAGGGGAAGCGGCAGCAGCCAGCCTTGCAGGGCTTGGGGGAGAAGTAGGGGTTCTCCTAAGGGTACTGGGAACCCCCTGGAGCATTTTAGGCAGGGAAATGAAAGTGGCTTCTAGGTGGCCAGGTCTCCTAATTTATTGAGCACAGTCATAATCTGGATTTTCTACATTTTTAACATTGTCTCGTTTTTTTAACTATCACACAGGCCAAAACACTTCTGTAGGTCAACTCTGACCCCAAAGTCACTAGCTTGTGACAGCCACTCTATCTGATCCTGGCAGCTGTGGAGAAGGAGGTTATAAGCCAGAGTGACTGGATGGGCAAGAGAAAGGGCCCAGGTTCTGGAGAGGGCCAAGATCGGCTTGCCATACCCGCCTCACCATACCCGCCTCGGCTTCCTCCTTTGGAAAGCAGGAGTTCAGAAGCTACCTGCCAGTGTATGGGAAACTCAGGCTACAGCTCCAAGTAGTCAGGAAAGCCTATAAGGGGGTGTTCTGGGTCACTGCCTCATTTCAGCCCAATATCTCGGCCCTGGGGTCTGCACACACTAGCCCAGCCAACAAGTTCCTCCTGGGTGAGACCTGGGCAAAAAGTCTGGACATCACACCACTTACCAGCTGTGTGGCCTCAAGCAAGACCCTCTTCCTCCCTGGGGATCCTGAAGAAGCCATCCCTTGCTCTCCCAGGGATGTTACGAGAATTAAAGAAGATGAGGGGTGTGTGGGACTCTGCTCCCTTCAGGGCTGGGCTGTGTACATAAAAGGCCTGTTTTTATCTACTCAGCGTGTCAGAGCCCAGCTGTGCTCCCAGGAGGGGACGAGGGGGCTGCAGCAGAGATGCAAATCAGCAAAATCTGGTCTTCCCACATGCTTGTTTGACCCACGGGGCTTGGAAAAAAAAAAGTTAAAAAGCTAATTTTAAAGAAAGGAGCAAGGTAATCAACATTTAAAAATTAGAAGATTCCATGTGAGAATTAGATTTCCAGAATCTCCTGGAAAATTAAATTTTGACAATCTGAGTATGCTTCCTGCATAGCAACAGGGGAGGCACTCTCCAATTAGCTGCAATCCTCACCTCTCCCTAGGGTGTCCTGGACACTGAGGCTGATTGTTGCTACTGATCACTAAATTCATGCTGTTATTTTTTTATAGCTCACCCTTCATGTAGGTTACCCTCCTGACCTATGGCCATCAAAGTTTTGACCCCTGCACTGGATGCCGTAAAGGCAGGAAGTGACCTCGCACAAGTCAGGCAGACCTTGCATACCTGTCAGATAGGTGCTATTGTCCTGTTTTTCAGAGAAGTAAGCTGAGGTTCTGAGAAGTAGGCATGGCCCAGCTGGTATGATGTACCTTTGGCAAGCCTTCCTGGAAAAGGCTGGATTCCCAGTTCCCTGCTCAAAGTTTTGTCTCTAAAATAGGATGGGGGGTGTGGCTTCCAGGGTAGAAACAGAGAGCCTGGCCAGGGTGAGAGACCCAGCTTAGCCATTAACTTGCTCTATGACTTTGAGTGAGTTTTTGTACTCTCGGGGCCTCTATTTCCCAGTCTGAATGGGGCTCAAAGATCAATGCAAGAAGCTCTGCTGCTCCCAGTTCTTCTGGGCCCCTCCTGGCTCTGAAGGAATCTTCAGTATTCTCCAGTCAATAATTCAAGAGGCACCCTACGCCTGGGGATCCACCTCCTCCCCACTCCCTCCCTCTAGAACCCAACACCACCACTTTCCTACTTTATGCTCAGCCTTGGGTCCAGAACTCTCAGGCCCAGTTCATCATCTGGACCCCACGCCAATTGCATGGGGGGACATTATCACCCCATTCCACAGATGAGGACACTGAAGTCAGAAGGAGAAGTGACTCGACTGAGGGCACACATTGGGGGGAAGGAGGCTGTCGTTCAAAGCCAGTTCTGTCTGAGGCCAAAGCCTGGGTTCTTCCCAATCAGACAGGATCGGGGACACTAATGCTTGGCTCTTAAAACCCTTTTGTGTTCCTTGGGACCAGGCCAAGGCTCCTCTGGATCCCGTGGATCTCACAGCAACTATACAATGGAGCATGCAGTAGAGGAAGCAAGAATGTCCCTGCATACATACACCCACCTGCGGGAACATGCACACCCGATGAACAGATGATCTGCACACTTGGGCATAAACAGGTGAGTGTGACCCAATTGAGGTAGAAGGCTGAAATGACTGTGTAGGAGTATAGGCTGGCTCACCTGGTGTGCAAAGGAGTGAGCAGACTGCCTGTGGAGATTTGTACAAGCTTAGGCCAATCTGGAGCTAGGACTTGGCTCCTGAGGTATGCTGAAGAAAAGCTTGGTGTGCGTACATATAACCCATATGTGCAGAATGGCCTGTGTGTTTGCACATCATGGGGGCCTGTTGGACCCTGTGGGTATGCACATATGGCCACATGGCCTCATGGTCTCACTCACGGGAGACTGGTCTGGGTTTGTGCACAGGCACTTGTGTTCCACTCAAAGGCATAGCAGCCCCATTGAATGCCCAGAGACTTGGCTAGCCTGCTCCTTTCTCTCTAGGATTTCTTTGCAGTCTGGAGCCATCCCTACACCCCCAATCAGGACCAGAGCTGCCAGGTACCTGCAAACATATCCTCCCATAGTAACAAGACCGACAAAAGCTTGTGTACCTGTGAGTATGGTCTGCAGCCCCTTGTCCACTAGTCCCTTTAGAACAGCAAAGCCTCCTGCCTGGGGCTCTTGGGGAGAAGGAGTCTACCAAAGGGATTTTCCCCCCTAGAAACTGCCTCCATGCATCCATCCATCCATAGGAGAGCAAGAATGGGCATTTAGGGGCATGCTAGTTTGGGTGGGGTAAGCAACAAGCTAAGACACAGCAAGCCTGTGTGTGGAATGATAGGGAGTGTGCTCACAAGGGTGACCGTCTATTCCAGGTTCTGGGGGTACAGGAGGGACACCATGAGCAGGTGTGAACAGGCACAATCAGACCACAGTAGGGAGACTGGGAGTGTGTTGTGATCAGGGCATTATCGAGTTGAGTATGCTGTGATCTGTGATGGCTAATGTGAGTGCTTAACTGTGCCTGAGTGTATACTCAAAGCTCCCACTCGGTGAATTGGGTGGGTACACAGGTGGCTGTGTGTATGAGTCTGATGGAATGACCAAGGGCCACAGCGGGTGTGTGTGTGGACCTGTGGCCCGGCCCAGGGATGAGATGATCTCCAACGCAGTGTGTGACCGTGTCCCAGAGTGTGTGCCACACTGGGTGTGCAATGGCGAGTGTGCTCAGTGGTGCCAGTGGAGCCACTCAAGCACCGCGGAGCTCACTCTGGGGAGGAGATGAATCAACGCGGGCGGACCCCCTCCCCCTGGTGGCGGGAAGCGCCCCCTCCCGCACTGCCGTGCGGAACAAAGCAGCCAGCAGCGTCCAGGCCGGACGCGGGGCTCCAGTCCTACACGCACCGCGGCCAGGCCCGCAGGGCCCCTCGGGGGTTCGGGCCGAGGATGCCGGACCCGCCCCCGCCCCGCCCCAGCGAGGAGCCTGGAAACAGACACCTGCCGCCCCCAGCCGCGCGAACACACAACCCGTCCCTCGCCTTGCGCGGTGCCAGAGCCCCCAGCGGAGGGGCTTTGAGGACCCTGGACAGAGGCTGCAGAGCTGCCGCCAGCGAACCAGAGGGGTCAAAGCCGCGCTCTTGGAGGGAACCGCAAGTGCGGGCGGGGCGCTTACCTCGCGGGGCCGATGCTCCGGCTCTTCGGCGCGCCACGTTCTGGCTCCAGCCGCTGCCGCCGCCCAAACGGCCTCGGCTGCCTCGGGCCGGGCTAGCGGGTGGACCCGCGGACTCCTTGCTGCCGTCCCCCGAGCCGGTCCGCTCTCCCGCCCCGCGCCCCGCCCCGGGCATGCGCGCTGGCCGACTCGCGGCCTCGGAACCCGGGAGGGGGCGGTGCCGGCGGGGAAACGGGAGCTGGGTGGAGGGAGGGGCGCCCCTCGCCTGCCGCCCCTCACCGTCGGCCGGGTCTTCCAGAGTGCCCCGCCCTTCTCCTCCGGGTTCCCATTTCACAGACCCGGAGACTGAGGGGCGGAGAGGCTGCCCATTTGCTGCGCGCCAGCAGAAGGCGGGGCGTGTTGCTTCTCAAATCTCAATAAACGCATCCCCGCGAACGCTCTGTAGTTTCACCGAGGAGGGAATTGCTGCTCCGAGAGCGGCAGCCACTGGTCCGAGGACCTGCGGCGCCTGCATGGGGACCCAGGTCGTCGGGATCTCCAAGCTCCCTCGGAGAGGAAATTTCCCGCCTCCCCCTCGGCCGCACATCCGGCCTCTCTGCCCCCGCCCCCGCCCCGCCCCCGGCCCTTTGTCTCGCCGCTGCCCACGCTCCTATGGGTGGAGGGGACGCCAGCGGTGGTGGTGCTGGAGACGAGCCTTTCATTCTCCCTCTGCCATCCTCCCCAAACAGGGTGTCCGCCCACTCTCCGGTCTGTGTAAATTGGGTTTTCCTCCTCCTGGATACTCCTGAGCAAGTCATTTCACCCCCTTTGAGCCTCAGTCTCCTCATCTGGAAAATGGGGCTAACATTAATCACCTCAGGAGTTTTGGAAGGCCGAAGGCGCCCGAAGTAGGAGTTCAGGGACTTCAAGTTGAATCTGAATTGCCAAAGACATGAAGATTCGCTGCTCTCCTCCTCTACGTTTCCTGGCAGAGAAGTGCTCCCCTGCTCTTTCAATTTCCCCGAAGAGAAAATAACTGTAATTGTCCTGGAGGTGATAAAACCCTCTCTTGCCTGTACTATGAAACCATCTACTAAAAATAGTAACAATTAATGTAAATGAAACTCTTAGGCACAAACACAAAAACTGTACTAAGATTTTGTTTACAGGTTTCATCTAATTTCCATTTCCAATCATTCAGGAGAAAGATTAATGTATTATATCCCCATTTTCAGATAAGAAAACCGATACAGATAAGTGCCTTGTTTGTGGTCACACAATTAATAGTGGAACTGGCATTACAAATGTATGCAATTTAACTCCAGCAACTTCACGTTTCACTGTTTTAGCCTTCTCCCTTATCCGGTGAACCATAAGTAACTGTGACCTTAAAAGAATTTTTTATTTTTAAAATCCGATGGCAAATGAAGAAAATCCATTAAACTGGCATCTTCAGCCTGGATCCCAGGAAAGGGAGAAAGCGAAGTGCCAAACCAATTTTCAGCACCACGGACAGCACACACACAGCTGGGATGCTTCCTTGTATTCCTAGTCCTAAAAATTATTCACTCACTGGTACAAGGGCACCCTTCTGCATCCGTCATTTCATTCCCTCCAGTCCTTCAAGGCAAATATTATCGACTCCATGGTGAAGATAAACACATCTTGTGGAGGTTCACAAGACATGAAAGGTGGCAGGAACTAAACTGATCTAAAAAGTTCCTCCTCCGGCAGAACAAGAGTGGACAGGAGCAGATCCCACACACAGATGAAGAAGCCATGGCAGGTGAGGTTCGCTGATATGTGAATCGTGGTGACATTTCTTGGTATGGAGAAGAGGGGCCGACTAATATACTTGGTCATGGGTTGGAGGTTGGCATGGAGGGAGAGAGGGTTCTGCTGCCCCTCTGAAGTTTTGCCTTAGAAATCCGGGTGGATGGAAGATCTGTATCTGATGAGTCCAGGGGAAAGGAGGGGCTCATGTTCAAGCCACAGTGAGACATAAGAGCCCAGAGCTGGACTCTGAAGTGGCCACTGCTGAAAACGGACTAGGAAGCCCACCCCCTGAGACTGTTAATGGAGGCCAGGAGAGACATGTCAGCCTGTGGAGGGAAAGTATCCACCAAATAGGGAGACGTGCAGGGCCTGGGTCAGCCGGAGGAAGGAGCACGGAGGGAACCGCTGAGAAGAGGAGACTGCAAAGGATGAGAAGCACAAAGTCTGAGAAGCCAGTGGAAACCCAAGAGAGTGTGATGTTTCAGAAGACAAGGGGAGAGAATGTTCCAGAAGGAGGGCAGAGTCAATCACATGGGAAGACAAAATGTGGCCTGCAAGGTGCCCTCTGAATTTGAAAAGAAGGTTAACTGGAAATTCCATCAGAGCCCAGTCAGTGGAGGGGTGGAGAGGAGGGGGTGGAAGGCCAAGTTGGTGTAGGGGAGTTTGATGATCAATGGGAGTAGGGAGGTGGAGTTAAGGCTGGGGACATAGCTTAGTGGTAGAGTCTCTGCCTAGCATGAACCCTAGGTATGATACCAGGCACTGGGCAGGAGGCAGGGAGGAGGAAGTGGAGAGAACAATTAGATGCCTTTCTCAAGAAATTTGGGCTCTGAGGGAGAAAAGAGGGATGCTGATCTCTATGGCGATACAAGGTTAAAATGGAGGAGACTTAAAGGCATTGAAATCCTGGTGAGAAAGGCCTGGGGCAGGGGGAAAAGGGAGGAGGCCAGCAAGGCAGAGCATGAGGGCTGGGCCAGATACTTAGGATGGAGGGACAGGTGGGATCCAGATCCCTGGGGTGGCTTGCAGAAACTGACATGAACACTGAAGGCATGTGGTTTATTTGTGTGGTGCAAGGACACCGGTAGGGGAGTGTAAAGGTGACCCAGGAAAGGAAGGCAGCCAATGAGAGGTGGTTATTAAGCCAGCCACCACAGTGGGTGAGTGAAACTTAATTCTGCAGGGAAGTCTTGGAAAATGAGGCAAATGTTCATTTCAGAATTCCTCTGGCCAAGGAAAGAGATCTGGGGAATGCATATCCCCACATCTGGCAGATGTTGCTTAAGTCCCATCCCCAGAGTTTGTTGCATGGGGCTGTGCGTTAATTCCTGGGCAGTTCTGGTCCACAGTGCATGGAGGTGAAATGTGTTCAGCAGCAGCCTGAGAGTGTCTTGGACAAAGATGATCGTATTGACTGTGGGGAGTCCTGGTGGGGGCAGAAATGGTCAGGGCATTCAAGGGGATGTGCAGAGCTCTGTCCATGACTGCTGCATAGGCATAGCATCTGTGTCCTTTTCCATGCTCTCTGACCCCAAAGGGACTTGTTGATAAAACCATTTTTAATGGAAATATTCAGACAACAAAATAAATCATTTATTAAGACAGGAATGGAGCTCAAATAGGCAGGGAGGCAGTCTGGGTTCAGTCTTGGCTTTGTCAGTTACTAAATGTGCGGCCTTGACTGAGGTCTCTGTGAACTTCACTTTACCACGTATAACACTAGCGATCTCAGAGAAAATACACCACGTGCCTGACATAAGGTGGCCACTGTAGAGGATGCTTCTGTTCGGGTGACCCCAGCTCATACACCCTTTTCTGACCACAGCACCTCCATTTTCCTGGGGAACTCCCCACTCTAGTTTGTGTAATGGGGTGGGGTGGACTCCATTGCCAGCTCTGGAGGTGGGTAGTGACCCAGGCCTGGTCAACTGATGTCCAAGGATTTATTCTGAGGGTGGGGGTAGAGCAGGGGACCAAACTCAGAGCAAATTACTCTCTTTCCTGGAACTTTGGGGATAGCTGAATTGTTGATGTGTCCACATGCTGGAGGGGCATCTTTGTTCTCATGGGGACAGATTCTGCCTAGGCCTGGGGCTTGGGACCCCCCTTTGACAACCCACATGGCCACCCGCACCCATGTGAGTGTGTGTGCCTGCGTATAGCTCAGGTTGATCTGCTGCTGGGGAGCCGTACACGCGCGCGTGCGCACAAGAAGATAAACAAGGGCCTGCAGCTCCTTGGCTGGCGCCCAGGCCGGGGGTGGAATAAACAATCCTGGTGACTTTCTGAAAAGCAAGCGTGTGTGGCAACAGGCACCATGGAGACAAGCAGACTGTACCAGAGCAGACAGCCGACAGCCCCCAATGCCACCCCTGTGCATGCCTCTCTGTGCACGCGCACGCACACACACACACATGCTGTCCTTTCCTCTTTCATGTCTCTATCATGTTCATATCCATTCCATCAAACACAATTCTAATTTCACACCAGGACTACCCACTCCTGCGGTCTAGCCAGCCACCCCCATTCCAGCTTTGTTTGATGCTAAAGGCTTTGGAGAAGATCTGAGATTCCCCATACCACAGCAGCCATGATTCCTGACCCCTTACCTGTACACTGGTCCTTGTCTAGGGTGGAAAGGTGTGTGCTCTGTGTATATGTGTGTGTGTATAAGTAGGGTTTATCATAATGGGCAGTGACAGATAATCCTAACTTTCTGTAAAGTTCTTGCATAACGTTCTTGTGCTTCAGGGATACACGCACAACACACATTGACTCCTTCAAGAAACACCCAGACCCCACACTACCTGAGGGTTGTCCAGATACTCAGATGCATAACTCTACATGCTTGCGATGATGATGGTGACGGTAGTATGCCTTACTGACTCCCTAAGTATAGTCATCATCTCATTTAACTTAATCCTTAAGGAAAATCACATGGACAATACAATTATTATTCCCATTGAATAAGTAATAAGAATAAGAATCAGTAAATTGCCAGGGTCACACAGCTAGAAGGGGACCAATCTGGGAATTACTGCAGCCACACCCAGATGTACATGCAACACCGCATGCCTGGGTGCAAACGTGCAAGCACACACACACTGCCTCCTGTCAACTCAGATAACTGATGCCCATGGAGCTGTCTTCCCATCCCTGGCCTTCTCACTCCCAGGCTCTCACTTGGCTGCCCTCTGATTCATGAGACTCCCTGACTTGGGACTTTATGAGCACAGCCTGATGCCCACACAGACCCCTTCCCTCCCCTGCTGCAACCCCCTCACCCTCCCCAAAGCTGCAGGCCTTGGCCCAGCTGGGGGCGGCCCCAGGATTTGGATGGGTGACTCAGGCTGAATCATGGCCCAGCTGCTCCTTGGCAGACCCCTCCCCCATTCTGCCCAGAAAGCCTATTTAGAAGGCAAAGGTGGGCCTTGGAGTGGGGGCAGGGAGCGGGGGATGGGGCACTTGAGAAGGAGGACAAAGCACAAGACAGCCTTTCAGGAAGCCCTCACCCTGACCCTCATTCTGCCAGGAAAAGGTGTCCTTTGTTTGAACTGAGACCAGGGCTCCCTCTCCAATACCAGGGCCCATTTTGGCTTGCCTCCTCAATGTCTGGGTTCTAATAATAACAGCAACAATAATACTGTTCACTACTCTAGTTGATCACTCACATTTCACAATAGTGCAGTTTATAAAGCCCTTTCTCATCAGCATCACATTTAATTCTCCTACTGGTCTTAGGGGGTGGAAATCAGCATCTTTGCTTTGGAGCGGAGGAAACTGAGGCTCAGAGAAGTATATGAAATGACCA